GTATGCTGCCTAGAAGATTGTGAGCCTTCTCTGTCTCCTCTGAGGAAGGGCAAGTGGCTGTTCCTCACCCGCCCCTAAGAAGGGGATCCTGTAACACCCTGGTTCCTCTGAGGACCTAGCTCCACCAATTTTCTTCCGTCTCTAGTATATATTTGTTTAACCTTCCCCTGTTCCCCAGTTCCTCCAACCAGCACACGGGCTCCCAACTGCAGAGGCAGGCAGCCTGGTGGGGTGCAACACTGTGTGGCTTGTTAGCACTGATTTCTCACACTGTTTATATAGAGAGTATTCCAGAGCTGCTCTGTAATATCACTCTCATATTCCGCAATGCTTTTTTGAGTAAAAAGCTCTAGTTTGCTATCTGGGAATTGTCCATAGCCCACAGCCTATCTCAGTTACCCATGGACATTTATGCACCAGGGATCTCAAAGGAACAGAATGCTGTAAAGCCCGAAAATTGGGATACAGGGTAACAATGTGTGGGCATTCTGCGGGAGTGTATTACACATGTGAACCGCATTATTCATAATGTTGCAGCAGGCAAAACAAACACCTCATCACTAATGCCTTACCCTACGATATGCTCAAGTTTCTTCCATCTTATTAAAATCTTATTAGAATGATTGCCTTAAATCCTTTCCGAAAAACTCTGAAACAGCTAGATATAAAACAAAGCAACAAATAAATTTTAGTGTCTAAACCCCTGTGTAAGTCCGTTTCCAATAGGAAACAGATGGCACCCTCAAATTAGGACAATTTAAGTGGGGTTTAGTTAAACAAGAACCTTTTATAAGGGTCCCAGTAGGGTACAGGAGAACCACAAGGGAGAGTGTAGTGACCTGGGGCTAGTAGCAATGGAGTAACCATCCCTGAGTCAAAAGCAACAAGGGAAGAAGTCACTGAAACACAGAAGGAGAGAATGTGGAGGGGGCTGTCTTGAAAGGAGCAGTGAACGTCAGAGAAGGGATGAAACCCAGTCGAAAGCATTCCCTCTGGGAGATCCCCAGGGGATAAATATCCTGAGCTCCCTCTACTCGCTCTTTTCCATGAAGTGTGATGTTCATCAAGGACTTCCTTTTGGGCAAATGCCAGAAATAAACACTCCTTAGTTCTTTTCTCACTTGCTTTCTCTCCGGCATTTGACATGGTTTCTACTTCCCTCATCTTGAAAGCTTGTTTTTCTTTGATTTCTGGGACACTACTCTTTCTTGGTTTGCTCTCTTCCTCTCTGATTTCTCCTACTCTAAATCTACAGATTGGTCTTTCTCGTCCTACTCCATAAATGATAGTGTCCCCAGGGGTCTGTTATCAACCTATCCTTTCTTCTCAGGTGATCTCATTTATTTCTTCACCAATACCACCTAGTTTTCAACTTTCCCCATAGGCCCATTACTACCTGTCTTCATTTGGGTTTCCCTAGAAGTAGATCCTGAAACAGGGATGTAGATGCAAATAGTTTGTTTTGGCAATGATACTTGGAAACGCCATTAGGGGAGTGGGGAAGGGAGACAGGGAAGAGGAAGGAGCCCATAAAGTAAACATTATTAAGCAAGATTCCACAATGGGCGAAAGGGCTTAGTCCTTCTGGGAAGCTCCAGGGAACAGCATAAAACATACTCTAGAGTTTTCCCAGGCAAAGAACAAATGAACTGTGGCGTTTGTACACAATCCCCGAGTCATTGGTTGAGGGCTACTCCCAGAAAGCATTAATTCCTTACCCCTTCCAGCCTGCCATGACCATAGGTAGAGAAGCCCCTGAGGACAGTTGTTGGCAATGGAAAGATGTGCCAGAACACACCAAAATGGTAAGTGCCAAAGCAATGTGGGTGGAACACTGACAGCATCTGCTACATTTCTAAATTTCTGTTTCTGGTCCAGATCTCTCTCTTTGTCCCCAGATCCATACGACCAACTGCCTACTTAGGCCTCTACTGTGAGACTGCAGGGGCCACCCACTCCCACCCTCACCTGTTTTCTCACTGATTGCAGAGCCTGACACCACCATCCTCACAACGCCAAATCAGACACCTACCATTCATTTGTGATTTGCTAATTGGTTACCAACCTCCTAACACCACTTTTAGCTTCTATCTTCCATCACTCTGTTAGTTCAGGTCCTAATATTTTTTGCCTAAGCTGTTGCAATAATCTCCTAATCAGCACTTCTCTCCCTGTTCTATTCACATTTCCACACCATGTAATCATCTTGCTCGAAATCCTCTAAAATCCTCTTAAGGGCCTCTCAATTACCTCAAGTCAAGATTCTAAGTCTTTAGGTGAATACAAAGATCTGGTCTCTCTCTTCATCTCCAGCTTCTCCTTCTCAACTCCTCTAAACACATTCTATCTACCTACCCACACACATGTGTTCATAGTTCTCCACACATGACAGAGCCTAGACTTTGCATATGTGTTTCCTTCTGCTGTGCTTTCATCTTGCCTTCAACTCCAACTTGTGTCAAACATCACTTTTTTGTCACTTTGTTCCAGATCTCCAAGGAGACAGCTCTTAGGCTGTGTTTCTGCAGCACTAACAATTACTGAGCAATAATCACATATCTAATGGGTTTATAGTAAAGGTATTCATGTGAATAGTGTAGGTTCTTTACCTGAAGGTCAGAACATACCAGAAGTGATCCAAAAAGATGAAGACCTGATGGATAAGCATACAACTGCTCATAATAATACTCAACATCAGACAAAAAGACATCTTAAGGTATCTCTTTCTCACTCGAGGGATTCCAGTTATGAGCAGACTCAGCTCTGGGAACCTACCATGATGGTTCAAGTACGGCTTTTTATACCAGATCTAGATTCTATCATCAACATTGTTATTATGTGGATCAAAGGGCACACCAGTGGATTGCCCAGCCACAGATGTCAAAGACCAATTTACCATTAACAAAGATAATCTAATCTGATTAACACTCCTGCCCATCAGCCTTCTAAGGTGACTGGGCTGCTACTCACCCTCTACCACTCCAGGGTCTCAGCATCCCTATGGAAACTAAGCATTCTGTTTCCAAGGTAACATCTACCTCCACTCTAGCCTACAGAGGACAGCCACCAGGGCACTTTTCAAAAGTGCTGATGCCACATTCCCAATGTGTTTATCAGTGCTATGACAAAGGGAGTGTCCTCTGGGCCTTTACAGAGAGAAATAGTTACAGGGAGGGAGAGCAGTTCATGCATGATAAATCCATTCCTACATCCCAATCATTTAAGTTACTGCATTTCTCTTCTTTCTCTAACACTAAGAAATGACTGATCCCTCTACTTCATTTAGTGTGTGCCACTGTTGAATCTAGGTTTTAATCAACAAACTGAGAAAACTGTTAGGAACACTTCCAGCCGCTCAAACCAGCACATTTAATCCAAAATCTCTGGTGAGAGAACCCATATCCAAAAAATTCATCCCAGTCTAAAATTATACAGCTCATTCCCTGGGCTAGCACCTCCAGAATCCATTACCACACATAATCTCCCAAATCTTTTGTGGCATAAGTTAGCAAAACTATTTTTGCAATTTGATTATCACAGATTTGACTTTACAATTGGTTCCCTGGTATATGCCAGAATGTGACTCTAATTGCCTAAAGGCAATGAGGAAAATTGACACCCCCTGGCAAGACAACTATTTCTGGTGAGGTCATCACAGTGTCTTCAAGCAAGGCAGGAATAGCTTTGTCTCTCAGGCGTTGCTTCTACTAACAGGAAAAAATAGTGGAATTTGGGAGCTTAATATTCCTAAAAATTTAAATCCTCCCAAAAGTCACTATTTCTATTCTCAACGTTCCCCTCTTTTTTTATTTTTATTTTATTTTTGAGACAGGATCTCACTGTGTCACTCAGGCTGGAATGCAGTGGCACAATCGTAGCTTATCACAGCCTCAAATTTCTGAACTCAAGTAATCCTCCAGCCTCGGCCTCCTGAGTAGCTAGGACTATCGCTCATGCCACCATGCCCAGCTAATATTTTTGTTGTTGTTTTTAGAGACAGGATCTTGCTGTGTTGCCTAGGCTGATCTCGAACTCCTGGGCACAAGTGATCCTCCTGCCTCACCCTCCCAAAACACTGGGATTAAAGGCATAAGCCACTGTGTCTGGCCTATTTTATTATTTCTAGAGACAAGGTCTCACTCTGTCACTCAGACTGGAATGAAGTGACATGATCATAGCCCACAGCAACCTCAAACTGCTGGGCTCAAGCAATGCTCCTGCTTTAGCCTCTTAAGTAACTAGAACTACAGGTGCACGACAGTACCCTTACCTAATTTTTAAAAAAAATTTTTTGAACTCCTGGCATCAAGCAATCCTCCTGCCTTGGCTTCCCAAAGTGCTGAGGTTACAGGCATGAGCCACTGCTCTTAGCCTGTCAGAGTTCTTCTGTTTTGTGATCATTATGCTCGTGTTCGTATAAGAGATCCAGCAAAGCTATGAATTTCACCTGCAATGCAGGTAAGCAGTTTGCAGGATCTGACCTGTGTCTGATTTTCTACCATGCTGGCCCTTTGACAAGAGGTAAGGGATCCCTTTAGATCAGTCTTAGAAACTTCCCAGACTGTAAGCCATTGGGCACAGTTAGAAAGAGCCAGCCAAACCTGCAGGTATCATCCATACTCATGGTGACTATCTATCCCAGTTTCCTTGGCAACATCCCATTTATGTCTGCTATCTGAGAATTGTTAACCACACTCATTTTCTCTTTCAAAAGTGTCCTAGTTTGAGCAATACATTATGTTTACCCTTCACGTGCCTGTAACCGAGCAAACAACCACTTATAACACCAGTGGATGCTCAAGCGAACCACAGTAAAAATCTGTTTGATTACTGAATACCATTCTCTAAGGCTGACAGTTTCCACTGGTTTAAAGCCAAATGGAGTTGGATAATCAATCACAGATTCGCATTTTCTTGAGTCTGTTCCCTGCAATCCTCTTGGTACTAACAACTACATAAATCAGGATTCTTCATTGCAGACTACAGAATCAACTCTGTTATTAAAACAGAAAGAAATTTACTATAAAGTATGGGATCTTACAGAATTCTGAGAGGGCCAGAACCAAACGTACATTCATAGCCAAGAAAATTGCAGCCAAAATAAATGCCCAACATGAGACTGTCCCATCAGAAAACTCGCTGTCATTATCATCTACTGCTTGCCACCTAGGATGGGACTAGACAGCAGACCCATCATGACAGCTGCCCAGAAGATTCTCTTGCTCTGTGTGTGACCCTCCACTGCACATGGTTTCCGTCTGCATTCTAAGTTTTGTGTAGGAGTATCTTCTTGTAGAACCTAGGTCCTGTACCGAACCCTAGCTGGGAAAATGCAATGTCATCTTTATATTTAAGATCTCTTTAAGACCGAAGGCATATTATTAGAGACGCTTTGGTGAGGATGAAGAGTGAATCAATCTTCAGTATCTGCCAAGAGCTGAAAAGGATGCTGAGGAATGCATATGAAAGACAGTGACAGTAAGAACATCAGTGGTAGCTCTAGAATTTCTATTAAGGAGGCATTTAGAGGACACTATCTCATTGGAAGGAAGATCAGGGGATATGTCTCAAAGCTGTGTTTGCATAGCAAGCACACTGTTATTGCTTCGCTCTATTGTTTATTCCAAGTGGACCTATGAGAGCTCAAAGAGGTCTAAATCAGACAAATGAGACAACGCTGGCACCTTGACCAGATGGAAAGGTAAAATATGGCCAAGACTATTACCCCTACTTCACAGATGGAGCTGTACTGCTTCTGAACAGCAAAGTAAAGGACAAGAAGGTCCTTAAATAAAGTGCTCTGCCACATGGACTGGAGTCCTCCCTCAACATTTCTGTGAAAGAGAAAAAGACTATTTTTAAAACAAAATTGGGACATAATATCTAGAAATGCAAATTATGTTACAAAATAGTTTAAATTATGAACCTCCAGATAATCTTGGGTTTATTATTTCTATAATTATCACATCCAAACTGGCACAGGCAAGGAGGACCGAGTGTGTTTTCCTTTCTCTGTGTTGCCAATCTTTCTCTCTCTCTCCCTCCATCTCTCCCTCCCTTCCTCCCCTCCTCCTCCTCCTTCTTCTTTTTCTTTCTCTCTCTCTCTTTCTCTTTCTTTTTCCCTACTTGAAATACTCCTTTGTTTTCAGGGTACTTTGAGGCAACTAACAGTCATATTTGTCTTTGTGGGGTCCCTGAGATGCCTTTTTTCATTGCCCCAAGTCTACCTACGTAGGCCAGAGGATGGTTCAAAAAGAATTCATTATATATTTCCTTTTTCTGTTTTTTCTTTTTTTTTTTTTCTTTTGTAATCAATCCATTTGGTGAAAATCTGTAATTCACAAGTCAAATAGCGTAGAACAGAAACAACTTTCGGAGCCCACTGTGGATGTGGTGGGGGCCAGCCTGTGCTGCTAAACATAGATTTTGCTGATCTGTTGGCTTCTCAGTTCATAGCATGCAGCCCCCTGGCTCCTCAGCAGCTCCTTCTCGTCAGCTGTGTCTCGAGCTTTCAGCTGCGGGAAGTGGGCAGGAGAGGCGATGAGATCGTAGTGCTGGGCCAGATACTGCAGGTAGATGAGCATGTGCAAGGCGTAGGCCAACACCAGCAGCAGGATCAGGGACGTTGCCAGGCCAATCAGAATAGCTGGCGAGAAGGAGGCGGCGCAGTCTTGGGCCTTTGTAAATCGTGCCCCCTTGATGGCAAAACCTTGGATCTGCAGGAGAAAGGAAGGAGCTGAAGTGATACATCCCTTCTCTCCTAGGATCTACTTCCCAGTTGGGCTGGCAGTTCTGGCCCCTAGGTAGCCAAATTTCATATACTGTCGCCCTATTTGCTGAATAATTTAACCACACGATTTGACAAATGTGATTGTGCTTATGGGGACAGTGCAACTCAATCTTAAAACAGGACTGACCCAGAAATTCTGGGATGTATGGTTGTCATAACTAGGAGGCTCATGAAATTCAAGACTGAAATAAAACCTTGATTTCAAGGCTCTGCAAGAAAACCTCTTTTAATCTGATCCTTAGAAATATTCCGGTTCATGGAAAAACCACAACTGCTGTGTTGTCTCTAAAATCCAAAGCACACTCAAAATTTTATAAGGCTATTATAAGTTTCACAAAGATTTTAAGTCTCCATTCCTCTGCCTTTGATTCTATTGACAGGAATGAGGAAGAGTCTTTGAAGGGGGATGTCATGATCCTTAATGAGGTAAAAGATAAATAATAATCATAAAAGCTAACACTTATCATAGGTTTTTGTGTACCATAAACTGCCTTAATTTTTTCAGTATGCAAAGAGCCTATGAGTAAGTTACTATTTCATTCCTACTTTATGGATGAGGAAACTGAGGCACAGAAAAATTAAGTAACTTGTCTAGAGTCACACAACAGTAAATGTTGTGATGGTGTAATTGAAACCTGGGCAGTGGGCGTCAGACTCGCACTCCATAGCTCCTGGTGGGTTCTCTCTCTTCCTCCTCCCTACCCTCTCTCTCTATTGGTTTTACCATACAGACTTCGTCCCATTTCTGGATCCCTCCTTGCATCCTACCCATTACTTTTAATGGCAAAAACCGCAATCACTTTTGCACCAACCAAATAGAAAGAAAAGCTTTCCATTATGTGCAGATGAAATGGTATCATTACTTGAAAGAAAGAGAGGTTCAAATTGAGAACTGGCACTGATATCTAATGCTGTCAAAATGAAACAGGGCTACAAAGCAATTACTTTAAAACAAGAGCCATCGCTTGTGGAAGACAGCCCCTTGTCTAGCTGGCTTTAAAAGTATGACCCTACACAGCGTTGCCTCATTCAGACACCTACTCGGTTTTTAAAGAGTACATCAGACGACTGAACTATCCATGAGTGCTTTACTGAAAATTCACTTTGATGGCTTAAGTGAGCACTTTGGCATTGTCCCGTGTGTGTTAGAATTATTGAGGCTGCCCATCACTCCATAGACGCAAGGGGCCTTGCTCGCCCAACTGTCTGTGCTCTTGATTGAACCCAAAGCAGCTTCTGAAGGAGACTCTTGTTCTAGCTTTGGGGATCCCTGCCCCGCCCCTCCTGTGAAGAGGCAGAGTGACCTCTTTAGACTGGTGCCTGAAGAGTCGAGCTCCGCCATGACAAAAGACGACCTCACTTGATTCTGCAACTCCAGCCAAGGAGAATGTCCTCAGGTTGACTGACACTTAATTCTTTTTTTTTTTTTTTTTTTTTTTGAGACAGAGTTTTGCTCTTGTCGCCCAGGCTGGTGTGTAATGGCAGGATTTCAGCTTACTGCAACCTCCACTTTCAGAGCTCAAGCGATTCTCCTGCCTCAGCCTCCCAAGTAGCTGGGATTACAGACGCTTGCCACCATGCCCAGCTAAATTTTGTATTTTTAGTAGAGGCAGGGTTTCACCATGTTGGCCAGGCTAGTCTCAAACTCCTGACCTCAGGTGATCCACCCATCTCGGCCTCCTAAAGTGCTGGGATTACAAGCATGAGCCACCACACCCGGCCAACTGCCACTTAATTCTTAACAAGACTTGGTTGAGAACAGTAAGTGTGGAGAATGCCTGATACATGTCTACCCATTTCCTGGACTAGAGGTTATACAGACATGCTGTTTCTAGCCCACAGGTGAGTTTTGTTTGACGCAGTGCTCGGAATATCCTGAAAATTTCCTGTGAGAATCCACCAATCTAGCTTCTATTGAAAAGATTCAGCAACACCAGCCCTGCATTCCTACAAAGCAAAAATCAGCACGGTTGAATTTGTAAAATGCTCACTGTGATGAAGGCTACCCTTTGCCACAGTTCCAGCCCAAATCACCAGTTACCCAAGGTACTTGAGTTTGCCACACCAGCCACATCGCTCTATACTCTATTCCCACCATAAGCCAGGCCAGCAGAGCTGCGCATGTGGACAGCAGCCTTTTGTACACATGCCTCAGCCACCATCACCACCACCTCCTCTCCACTGGACTGAGTTTGTGTTCTGCCATCTCTTCACATGAAGGGGGTTTCAACAAGGCCCACCTGTCCCCCTGAAAGCCGTGTTTATGGTACGAATGCTCATAAGGATGTATACATCTCACACCACCAAGGATGAATGTGCTCATCCCAAGCACACTGGCAGCAGTCTTAGGGACCCTGTGAACATGTAACTGAGTGTTTCTCATACTGCCTGCTTCAGAACTTCAGAGCCAAATTCCTGTGCCGCCTCCAGTCAGTGCAGACAAATGGTCTCGTGGTTTTGTATATTAACCTCACTGGTGGCTCTAACTGACATTTTCTTCCTTTGTTTTTCTCTGCGTCCACGTCTTTGCTAAATTTTTTGTTTTAATTGTTTATTATAAAATATATATAATATAAAATTTATCATCTAACCATGTTAAGTGTATACAGTTCAGGGCTATTAAGTACATTCACATTGTTGTGCAACCATTGCTGCCGTCCATCTCCAGAACATTTTCACATCTTGCAATACTGAAACATTACTCCCATTAAATACTAACTGCCCATTCCCTCCTCCCTTCAGTCCCTGGCAACTACTATTCTACTTTCCATCTTGGGGTTTGACAACTGTAAGTACCTCATATAAGTGAAATGATGCAATATTTGTTCTGTTGTGGCTGGCTTATTCCACTTAGCATAATGTCTTCAACGTTCATTTATGTTGTAGCATGTATCCAAATTTCCTTCCTCTTTTTAAATTTAATTTTTTTGAGGCATCTGTCACTCAGGTTGGAGTGCAGTGGTAGAATCTTGGCTCACCGAAGCCTCCACCTCCTGGGCTCAAGCAATCCTCCCACCTCAGCCTCCCAAGTAGCTGGGACTACAGGTGATACCACTATGCCCCCAGTTGATTTATTTTTTAAAAATTGTTTGTAGAGATGGGGGTCTCACTATGTTGCCTAGGCTGGTCTCAAACTCCTGGGCTCAAGAGTGATCCTCCTGCCTCAGCCTCCCTAAGTGCTGGGTTTAAAGGCATGAGCCACCGCTCCCAAATTTTCTTCATTTTTAATGCTGAATAATATTCCACTGTACATATACACTAGGTTTGTCGATCCATTCGTCCCTTGATAGACATTTGGGTTGCTTGTACCTTTTGGTTATTGTGAATAATGCTGCCATGAACATAGGTATAAACATAGGTGAATGCTGTTCAAGTCCCTGCTTTCAATTATTTGGAGTACAGAGCCAGAAGCAGAGTTGCTGGATCCCTTGGTGATTGTATGTTTAACTTCTTGAGGAAACTCCATATTATTTGCCACAGCATCCACACCATTTTACATTCCCAACAGCAATGCACAAGAGTTCCAACTTCTCCCTGGTCTTGCCAACACTTATTATTTTCTGTTTGTTTGTTGTTGTGTATAATAGCCATCCTAATGGCCATGAAATGATTTGCCTATTTTTGAAAGTAATTTTTCATAAGTAGTATTTCCATAAGTCAACTAAGTCATTTCCGGAACAAGTTAGAAGTATAAATCAATCAATTCCCCTGGTCTAATTAGGCAAAATTATTTGTAAAATATTCCTTGTTGTCATTGTATCCTCACTGCCATTTCTGTATATGTATATATATACACACACATACACACATGTATAAACATACACATACATAATATATATTAATATTTATAAACATTTTATACATACACACACAAAAGAATCCTTGGAACCAAACTGTCCAGAATTTGAGTCGTGCCTCTACCATTAACTCTATCAGTTATACTCCTTAGAAAAATTATGTGATTATCAGAGATTCAGTCACCTCATTCATAAAAGGACCTTGCAGCATTATGGTAAGTTCTGAAGACAAAGTACATAAAATAACCACAGCACCAACACACACGGGACACTCACATGTAGCAATTCTTGTTAGTCCACGCCTGGCGCACTACTGAGTGTTTCTACATACCTTAGGCCACGTATTCCTTACATTAACAAAGATAGGTGAGAAATTGAGAGAGGTTAAGTAACTTGCCCTGGTGACTGAGCAGTAATTTGAAACCAGGTCTGTCTGACTCCAAAATGTGAGCTACTTCCCTACCCCAAACTGCCTTTCATCCACACCACACTTCTCTACAGAAGCTTGGGAAGGATGGAAGGGAAGAATATGCACATATGCGAATGCCCATATATATCTGGAAAAGGTTGGAATGTGCCCACGAGAGGTACATGCAAAGCCCTGCCTACTATTTCAGGGAGTGGCAGGAACAAGCTAAGCTTCATTCACAGGTAAACAGGATAGAGGAACTTGACAGAATGTCTCTCAACCTAAGATTCTGGTAGTGAAAAGGAATCTCTTACACCCCATTCCTTTCTCCAAATACCTTCAAGAAGATCTTTGGGATATTTTTGACTCCCCGCTGAGTCCCTTCCTACTAACTGCCAAAGCTGTCACTCACACTGCAGATATACTTCTTATCTTCCCTGATAGGATCACTGTGCCACTCCCTGAAGGAAATAAAATAATTGTCCACCAATGTCTCTCCCCAGAAGGGCCTCTCATTGCAGGAAGTGTCAGGCCCTGGCTTCACCCACAGCTTCGCTAGGGCTTAGATGGCTGGCATTCCTCACTGATAATTATTAGTGCTGGATAAAGCTGAATGCAAAAGCAAGCCCTGGGTAGGGGGTGGGGGGTACAGGGAGATAAAATTCTCTATCCTATTCCATTTCATACCTTAAAAGGCAAAGGAAAAAACCCACCAATATTCTTTTAAAGGCATCTACTTCTCTTTTCCTTGAGCATCTAGGTTTGTTTCAGGTGTTTTTAAACAAACATTGAGCTCCTTTGGTACCAAAAACGCAGGTGCATTGAGCATAGATTTTAGTTTATTACCTGGAAATCAATAAGAGTGACCTCCCACAGGCTCGACCCATCATCCGTGTCGCTGGGCAGCAAGAGGGCCTGGTCCCGCGGCAGGTTGCCCACGCATTGGCAGCGGTAGGAGTAACCAGAGGGAGCATGTATGCCAGTTGGGTTAAAGACTGCTTGGATTGAATTGTTGGAAACGATCTCGACTCGGCGCAAAGTAAACCAGCTCTGGATGGACAACTTGTTGTAATTGGTAAGGATGAATCTGAAACTGGTTATAAAATCAGCATTACTCCTAAAGAACTGTTCCCACATTTACCGACGCAAGGCATCATCTATGAACAGTACAATGGCGCCCTCTTTTGTCAGGCAGCAGAACGGGCTTGGGGAGAGGCTTCACTTTTGTTGCAGAGCCTCCCCTGGATGGATGGGAAAGAGAAAGTGACAGGGCAGTCCCCAAAGTGGACAGTGCAAATTCCTACGAAAGAAAAAAACACAAAGTTTAGGTTTGTTTGTTTTGTTTTTGCTTTTTCAGAATCAACACTTGATTATGGGTTTATTCATCAAAAAATTTGAGAAAAACTTAAATGGACACCAATGAAGAATTTGCTAAATTATGGTTTAAAATAATGGTAATAGCTCTCTTGATAGCTTCTGTGTTATGTATGTGTATTGTGTTTAACCTGCACTACAACACTATGTGATAGATAATATCCTTATTCTAATTTCACAGGCAAGGAATCTAAAACACAAAGGGCTTGAATAAGCTCACTGGGAGAGTAAGTGTCAGAGCTGGGCTTCAAATCCAATCTTAACTCTTTCGGAATGGACTGTTTTCCAGCCATGAAAAAAGTCATAATTTACTTGTCATTATCATTTTATTTCAATTTTTAAAAAAATATGTGACTGCATAGAAAAAAATGTCTGGAAGGATAGAGATTAAAACATTAGTAGTGATTGCAAATGGTGTTTAGATTATTGATGATTTTCATTTTCTTCTTTCTATAGCTCAGTATTTTCTGATTTTTCTGTTTTCATTAGTTTTTCTTGTCTCTGTTTGGCTCCTTTGCAAGAAGACACTAAGACAAGGGTGTGAATATAAGAAATATTCAGAGGAGTTCAGTCATTCAAAATATGTAAAATGGAGAGAAAAGAAACGACAGAGGAAGGGAAAGCAGCTAAAAGAGGCACATTATTAAGCAAGTTTCCAATGTGGACAAGCAGGGCTTCATTGCCGTGATGGAACCTGGGAGCCAGAGTACAGCACATGCTGCTGAGTTATCTCACCTGATGGGGAGGGAGCTGAGGTGTGTGTATGTTTCCTCCAGTCATTGGTCGAAGGCTATTGGGCCAGGGACTGGGGGCAGTGGGCCAGAGAAAGCTTTTAGGCAAAGAGAGGCTGGGAGTTGAAAGTTCAGCAGGTAGGCTACAGTACTCTCAAATGGAAAGGACCATGTAGATATTCATAGAGTACTGACAGTCTCTGCTACATACCTCTATCATCAGAATAAATAATAATAACAACAATAATAATAAAGCTATTTTTCATTTTGGAAAAAAGTAGAATTACGACCAAAAATATTCTCCATTTCTAGATCAAACAGACATGTGTGTTTGGTCACCTTGTGGGGTTCTATTTACTTGTAAAGTTGCTCTGAAAGATGATGGCATATATTTTCTAAATTATGATCAGTGAAACACTAGTCTCCCATGATATGTAGACAAGTGTTCTGAGGAAGAAGGCTCTCCAAAGTTAAACACAGGAAACACTGAGTTAGTCAAAGTTACAAAGTGCAATAGTCTTCCTTAAGATTATTTCTTCTCAGAAACTTTAACATACAAGTTTACACTGTGAATTGCCAAGAGGAAGATATGGTTTAGAGTCGTTCCCAGACACATTTGACCACAGAACCCCCTTTTCGTAAAATCTTATAAATATTCTTACAGAGCAGAAGTGTCCCACAGAGCAAAGCTTAAGAAAGACTGCCCTAGCACAATCCTGCTGCTTTTCCAAATAGTGTTAAAGACACAACTACTTATCTCCACTAACAAGTTTGTCTTATAGGAAGGGAAGCACTGTATTTTTATAAGAAAAATAATAATAATGCCTTCAAATTGTTCCCCCCACCTCAGGAGCAGTTCCTAACTGCTTGGCTAAAGTCACTGTTGGCAGATGCATCCTTTCATACCTAAACATCAAAAAACTGTAGGCCTCTGTTGATTGTCTGCTGGGGAACGCACATAACGAGGCTTTTTCATTGTAGTTAAATGGTAAAGTGTGATTAGTTATAAGAAGCTATAGAAAATATTTCCAACCAGAGCCCCAGTCCTTAGAGCTTTATTTCTATTTTCTTCTTTTCTCAGATGAAAAGGATATTACATTCTCAGGACTGGGAGTTTTCTAAGTCCTTAATGCAGGCGGCATGGGGGGTGGGGGAGAGGGAAGTTACGGGTATTTTGGTAGAAACTTTTAGAAAGAAAGCACCAGTATAGGATCCCATCATATCACAGCACCAACTTTTCAGTGTAATTAGGTTGATGTGGCATGCAATGTGTCACAGTGCTTGGGCATATAGCAAGCCCCTGCTTCACACACGTGGAATGAATACATTTTAGAGAGCTAATCTGAAGTGCTGAAGCTGCGATGCTCTAAAGTGCTGTCCTACCTACCTTATAGCAAGACCTCTGGGGTTTCCAGCATCACCAAGCTTCAAAGACAACCTAAGAAAAGGAAACAACACAGTCTATGAAAATAAGAATAACCCTAACTTCATATCTACTCAAAAGTTACCTCAAGGTGGGTCACGCAACACCTAACACACAAAATGTATAGAACATTTTTTTAATCTTGAGGTAGGCAATGGTTTCCTGAAAAGAATACAAAAGCATAAACCATAAAAGAAACAACTGATAAATTGCATTTTACTAAAATCCAAAATTTTTACTCTTCAAAAGACACTGTTTAAGAAAACAAAAAAGGCAAGCCACACAACAGGAGAAAATACTCACAACACGTATACATAAAGAACTTTATCCGGAATACAATAAATAACACTAACAACTCAACAAAAAGACAGCCCAATGTAAAAATCGCAAAAATTGTCAGAAGACTCGAGCATGTTTTAAAGAAAGATATACAAATGGTCAATAAGTACATGAAAAGATGCTCAGGACCATTAGACATTCAGGGAATGTAAAATAAAACCACAATAAAGATAACACAGTACAGGAATCAGAATGGCTAAAACATTTTTTAAACTGACTCTTAAGCTTTTAATAACTACATTTATTCCTATTTTCCTGAGAGTAAACATAAGATTTCCCAGAGCAAAGACAGATGATTTATGACTTACTCATGGGAACAACCATAGTGGTTCCCCCTTCTAATCCAATTCTCCCCCACTAGGCAGCATGAGAAGAGCCAGATGTCATCCTACACATATTGGGATTTGTAATACAGATGAGGAACACCAAAATTATCCATCTGGGAGTTTACATAGGAGAGAGACCGTGGATCCCTTCTCACCTCTCGAGAGAGGGAGAGAAACATTCGCTCCCCTAGTGTTAATAAATTCTCCTTAGGAAGAGAAGAGGGCTGATTAGTCTTTGAGTGAAAGAGTTTAATTAGCCTTTGGATGGAAGCAAATCGCTCACCATAAGGAGACAAATGGTTGCAGGTCTCATACCCATGGTATGTAAATACATATCTCCAAGGGGAGGATAAGATAAGCCTCTCTGAGTTTCTAACCCCTGGAATCTCTCTATGGCCTTGAGTTTCATTACCCCTTGATACATGAACACATTACTTTCAAGAGGTAAATCTCTCACTAACTCTAACACTTATCTTTTCACCCAGTTCCCAGTAAAAATTTGTTCAGAAATTCCTAAACATGCAGAAATATAAAAATGCCTTCTCTAGTCTCACTCTGACCATATGAAGTGTTAGTGAGAATGGGAAGCAACTGGAACTCTCATATGATGCTGGAAAAAAGGAAAAGATATGGCCACTTAAAAAACAGTTTGGCTGTTTTCTAAAAAGGTAAACATACACATACCATATGATCCAGGCATTCTACTCCTAGTTGGAATGACAGATAAGAGAAATGAAAATACCTGCTGCCACAAAGACTTGTACGTGAATGTTCATAGTGACTTTAGTGGGAAAGTTATGCAAAAAGTGAGAGAAAAAACAAATTTCTATCAACAGGTGAACAGATAAGTTGTGGTACATCTATAATATGGACTACTACTCAGCAATGAAAAGGGAAATACCATTAACACATGCAATAACATGGAAGATTATCAAAATCATTAAGCTAAGTGACAGTGGCTACACTAAAAAAGAGTACACACATGTGATTATATTTATATAAAATTCTAGAATGTGCAAACTAATTGATAATAATAGCAGATCAGTGGTTATCTGGAGATGTGACAGTGGTTGGAAAGATGCATTACTAAGAAACACATAGAAACTTCGGGGCATGATGAAAATCTTTGTTGCCTTTTTTTGTTTTTTGAGACAGGGTCTTGTTCTGTCGCACAGGCTCAGGGACAGTGGCATAATCTCCACTCACTGCACCCTCCAACTCCCAGGCTCAAGCAATCCTCCCACCTCAGCCTCCTGTGTAGCTGGGACTACAGGCATGCACCACCACACCTGGCTAATTTTTGTATCTTTGGTAAAGACAGGTTCATCATGTTGGCCAGGCTGGTCCCTAACTCCTAATCTCAGGTGATCTGCCCATCTTGGCCTCCCAAAGTACTGGGATTACAGGTGTGAGCCACCGTGCTCAGCCACGAGGATCTTTAAGTATCAGGTACTGTGCCATCAATTGGGAATACAAAGGAGAAATACAACCTGGAACAAGAGCTGTTCAAAAAGGAGCTCTTTTTACTCTTTCAAGCGCTCTACTCTCACACATGTAAAATGGATTCTGAATTCTTCAGACTGTAATTGCCTAAATTCCAAATACACACAGATGCTGGGATTATGCTCTATTTGCAGGGCTTTCACTATTTAAAAAGACTTCCGTAGCAAATCCATCTGCCAATAATTTGCCTCTCTCTGAACATTTTGTTTCCAAGAGCTAAAACGTGGTCATCTTTTTTTAATCTGTGCTTTTGACCTTACATGGTTATGTCTTTGTTTCGGTTTGTTATTTCAGCAACTCCCATTCTGCTTCTTGAGATCTTAAGATTTCCTTGCCAGCACAAGGGCATCTGGCTCATCCATGGAATTCACAGGAATCAGCCACTAGGTCTCAGCAGCTGGTCCTTGACACTTCCCTTCCTGGAAGCCTCCTGTTGCCCCTCTTTGGGCAGGCTGTCCAGGATGCCTGCACACTCACCTGTGCAGGACTCCAGCAGGTGGACGCTGCACACTCAGGGCTCACACCTGAATAGAATTCTAAGGCAGTGTCCAAAAAGACAGTCAGGTTCTGCCCAATCTTTAATTTGTGTCCTGTGAGACCCAAAGCTTACTGAAGAAATTAGACACTGTTTCACTCTAGTTATCACTGGGATGCCAGGAAGGAAAAGAATGCTACTACTATTAATACTCTGAACAGCACTCAACAAGATCTCAAAGTGCTTATGCATATATTTCCTCATGTGTTTTCCACAACCTTGTAAGATAGGGCCAAGAGGAAGAAGATAAATGGTCATTTTTAAAGATGTTTTAAAGCCCAGCTCTATGAACATACATGCTCCATGACTTTAGCAAGTTTTCTAACCTCTGTCATGATAACTGCCTATGACTCCGAGAGTTACTGTGAGGAATAACAGACTACGAAGACCTCGCACCGTGCCTGGCCCACAGTAAATGCTCAAGGCCTCATAGCTATAATGAATAGATGCCGTCATCTCCATTTGACAGATGATGATCCTACACATCCTGCTTATAAAATCACAAAGCTCTCTGGTAGAACTGGGCCTAGAGACCAAGTTTTCATTCTTTCTGTCTCTAGGTTCCCAGTAATCACAAGGTCTCTAAAACCCAGCAAAAAAAAAAAAAAAAAAAAAAAAAAAAAGCTGTAGGTGGCCAGGCGCAGCAGCTCACGCCTGTAATCCCAGCATTTTGGGAGAACGCAAGGTGGGCAGATCACCTGAGGTCAGGAGTTCGAGACCAGCATGGCCAACATGGTGAAACCCTGTCTGTCTCTACTAAAAATACAAACAACTAGTCAGGCGTGGTGGCACCTGCCTGTAATCCCAGCTACTCGGGAAGCAGAGGCAGGAGAATCACTTGAACCCGGGAGGCAGAGGTTGCAGTGAGTTGAGATCGTGCCATTGCACTCCAGCTTGGGCAACGAGCGAAACTCTGTCTTTAAAATGAAATAGTAAAATAAAATAAAATAAATAAAAATAAAATAAAAAACAAACAACTGTAGGACCCTGATTTTCTCCCACAAATGCCCTAGGGTCAGGATAAATGGAATCAAGGAGAGCCAGTCAGCCATAGACAGCCAAGATTATCCCCAAGCAGGCAGCCTCTCTCTGTGCAACTGACCACAAATAAAGAGCCCTGTGGGGAATTAATTAGCACCCCAGGAAAAGGTCCTGAGCTCTCAGCATTCCATAGTCTCTTTGATAGTCTTGGATAGTTGAGCTATAACAGGATAAACAAATCTGAGAGGACTCTAGATGCTTCCACTTACAATTCCCTAAATCCCTAATAAAAGATAGTCGTTCTGAACAGCAAGATACTCAGATTTGTAATATGACTTTTAATTGTATATTAATAGAATCCATTTTTACCCATCGCCAAGAATTTTTAAGTGGGAAGTAAAGTTCAGGAATAAAAGGATGTTTCCAGCCAAAGTACATAAAGTAGAAAAAGAATACACACACACACACGCACACAGTTATGCTTTATATAAAGCACCCTACCCATCTAAACCAAACCAGAACAAATGCAGAGAATCTTCCAAATGGATCTATTTTACCAACAAATGTTGAAAAGAAGGTTTATAGAAAGCAAGCAGGACATGCCAGATTTCCTCTCCCTGGACCAAAATAAATAAAAACAAAAATTTTTGCTTGGATGACTGAAAAGCAGAAAAAGGCATTGGAAATTGACTTGCCCTTCAAACATGTTATTTGTTTAATCTGCTTATCTCAAATCAAAACTAATTATTTCAATCATTTTGAAATGTCCCAAAGAATTATCTGGAATTTAGCCATTGAAAAGTGCCCTGCATATTTGCAAACAGGCAATATTCCACTATTTCAGCACACTGACACCCCCCTCGCCCCCCACCTCCACAGAGTCAAGCATTTGTCCTGGCTAGTGTGTCACCCACTAGAATGTGCATGACCCTGCTGGGATATGTGATCTCTTCCCTGATAGGATAAAAGTAGTTTAACACCTAACATTTGGAGGTGAGACCAAGCCTGGAATCCTTTGCTGTTTTCAAAATGAGTTTGAGAACCCTCGCTTTCCAAAGTCTCATTTTCTACAAGTTATTCTGACAATTAGCAAAAAGGTTCAGCAGAAAACTGCCAGGAAAATATAACTTTTTTTTTTTTTTTGACCGAGTCTCACTCTGTCGCCCAGGCTGGAGTGCAATGATGGGATCTCAGCTCACCGCAACCTCCGCCTCCCAGGTTCAAGCAATTCTCCTGCCTCAGCCTCCTGAGTAGATGGGATTACAGGCACCCGCCACCATGCCCGGCTAATTTTTGTATTTTTGTAGAGACGAGGTTTCACCATGTTGGCCAGGCAGGTCTTGAACTCCTGATCTCAGGTGATCCACCCCCTTGGCCTCCCAAAGTGCTGGGATTACAGGCATGAGCCACCATGCCCAGCCAACAATTTTTGAAGTTAACTTCTGACTTGTTCCTTTATTTTAGACAGTAAATACTTTCTCAAAGATGTGTGTCAGGGTCCTATACAAAGAAGCCTACCTTTTTTTTTTTTTTTCTGAAATGACAAAAAAATTGAATGCAGAGTTAACAACGCAATAGCCCTAAGGGCTTCCTCAAACTGAGAGATCAACATACCTAGCACTTTCTTCAGTGCAATTTGAGTTGTCAGGGTCCACTGTTACCTTCTGACCAAATGCCTCGTCTGTAAGGTCCAGCCAGGTTTGATTCTTAAATTTAATCGTGATTCTTTTTTTTTTTTTTTTTTTTTTTTTTTTGAGACGGAGTCTCGCTCTGTCGCCCAGGCTGGAGTGCAGTGGCGCAATCTCGGCTCACTGCAAGCTCCGCCTCCCGGGTTCACGCCATTCTCCTGCCTCAGCCTCCCGAGTAGCTGGGACTACAGGTGCCCACAACCGCGCCCGGCTAATTTTTTGTATTTTTAGTAGAGACGGGGTTTCACCGTGGTCTCGATCTCCTGACCTTGTGATCCGCCCGCCTCGGCCTCCCAAAGTGCTGGGATTACAGGCGTGAGCCACCGCGCCCGGCCTAATCGTGATTCTTTTGGCCCAGAAGAGAATGCAAGAAATTCCATCGATGGAGACATTAACTGGGCCATGATGGCTGAATGCATTCCAAGGTTCTTTTTCTAAATGCCCTTCTTTGCTCAGATTGTAGTTGAGAGCCTAATTAACCAAATATAAAGAACGTAAGAGATGAACTTGTGTCTATGGTGCAAAAGGCTTCCTAGAAATGAAAGAGCTAAGTCATATCCCTTAATGGTAAATACATGTCATCATACATTTATTAAAACCCATAAAATGTACAATACAAAGAAAGAAATTTACACCAATTACTCTAGTGTAAATACAGATAAAAGAAAAATTAGTTAATAGAGAGCTGCAACTTACGCTTACCAGTAACCAAAGATTATTATTATTATAGCAACAGAAATGAAGCTGAATATTGTAATGAAAATATAAGAGAGCAAGTAAAATTAAGTATTTTAGGTTTTTCTCAACTGTAAGATTCTATAATAAACAGAAAACCAAATACCACATGTTCTCATTTATAAGTGGGAGCTAAGCAATGAGTACACATGGACATAAATATGCAAACCATCGACACTGTGGGTGACTGGAGAGTGGAGGGAGTGGAGTAGGTTAAAAAACTACCTATCGGATACTATGCTCACTATCAGGGTGATGTGATTCATACCACAAACCCCAGCATCATGCACTACTCCCATGTAACAAATCTGCACATGGACCCTCTGTATCCAAAATAAAAGTTGACTTTTAAAAAGAAGAGATTCTAGCCAAGCACGGTGGCTCATGCCTGTAATCCCAGTATTTTGGGAGGCCGAGGCGGGTGGATCACAAGGTCAGGAGATCAAGACCATCCTGGCTAACACGGTGAAACCCCATCTCTACTAAAAATACAAAAAATTAGCTGGGTGTGGTGGTGGGTGCCTTGTAGTCCCAGCTACTTGGGACGCTGAGGCAGAAGAGTGGTGTGAATCTGGGAGGTGGAGCTTGCAGTGAGCCAAGATCGCACCACTGTACTCCAGCCTGGGCGACAGAGTGAGACTCCGTCTCAAAAAAGTAAATAAATAAAATTTAAAAAATAAAATAAAATAAAAATAAAAAGAAGAGATTCCATAATACATTTCCCCACCCCAATTTGAAGCAAAAATATGTTACTTATTAATACAATTATAATTTATATTTTCACAGGAGCACAGACACGATTGAAACGTGTTTTTCAGTTTTTTAGAGCTAGATTACAATCTGGTTTCCTGGCATAGCCATACCTGTGTGATTGGTATTGTTGTGAAATTCTGGACTGGTTTCGTACCTCCATTATTCTGATCTGTCAAATAAATAATGATGTGGTTACCAATGCTAAATGTCCTTTATTTATTAATGTAATTGAGTGGCAATAATATGCTAAGTACTGTCACATATATCAAGCTTAAGGCCCTTTTGGCTCATCATTTAGAACACACTAATATAAGATTTCACATGAGTGACTCCTGGTACAGACACCATTGGTCAGGGAATTCTATCACAGAAAAAGCCCTTCCCCACCCCACATGGAATCATGCGGGCAACTGGAGTCTTACCATTCTTCATAACCACTTCTTTATTTGAAGATGTTGGAGAACTGAAATTAGAAAAAAACAAAAAAATTAAAAGATGCTGAATAAATATCTACAATTCAGATGTTATATGAAATTTTAACAAGTATATTTCACTTTATTACATCTCAGAATAGAGGAGCAGAAACAGCCTGCCAAAACTGTTCATTTCTTAATAGTGAATTTCTCATTTAAAAAGTAATATGTCTCTCCCCTGTTGTCTCTGCATTTAACAGAGAGAGAGAAAGTAACATATGTTCTTCAAAAAACAAATATGAAAAATAAAGAAAAATTTTAGAAAGAAAAATTATTTTATTGTATTTTATTGTATTTGAGATGGAGTCTCACTCTGTCGCCCAAGCTGGAGTCCAGTGGTGTGATCTCGGCTCCCTGCAACCTCTGCCTCCTGGGTTCAAGTGATTCTCCTGCCTCAGCCTCCTGAGTAGTTGGGATTACAGGTGTACCACCACACCGTATTAATTCTTGTATTTTTAGTAGAGATGGGGTTTCACCATGTTGGCCAGACTGCTCTTGAACTCCTACCTCAGGTGATCCACCCACCTCGGCCTCCCCAAGTGCTGTGATTACAAGTGTGAGCCACCATGCCCAGCCAGAAAAATTATTTTAAATCAAACCTGAAGGCCGGGCTCAAGCCTGTAATCCCAGCACTTTGGGAGGCCGAGACGGGCGGATCACGAGGTCAGGAGATCAAGACTACCCTGGCTAACCCGGTGAAACCCCGTCTCTACTAAAAAATACAAAAAACTAGCCGGGTGAGGTGGCGGGTGCCTGTAGTCCCAGCTACTCGGGAGGCTGAGGCAGAAGAACGGCGTAAACCTGAGAGGTGGAGCTTGCAGTGAGCTGAGATCCGGCCACAGCACTCCAGCCTGGGCGACAGAGCGAGACTCCGTCTCAAAAAAATAAATAAATAAATAAATAAATAAATAAATAAATAAATAAAACCTGATTCTTATTCACTGAATAATATTGCGGGCAGGGGAGCCTACTATGTGCCAAGCAGTGTGCTACACGCTAAGGTTTAACCAATAACAAATACAAAATAACAAAATAGTAAAGCATATAAAACATTTTACAGTGAAATTTCATACTACATTGCATTGTTAACATATCAAAGCCAAAACATCCAACAGAAAACAAGACAGACTCAATTACCAAAAAGTTATACTGGAAACTTATGAGCATATAAATTATGATATATATCCTTGTGTTTGTATGTGTATATATATCCTCTCTGTACGCATACAAACACACAAACACACACCACATATGTATATAATTTACTTTTCACAAAGTTTAAAAATGGATTTTTCTAGACATACTGTTTTAGAGTTTGCAATTTTTTTTAAACTATATCACAAATATTTTCCATGTAATTATATACTTTTGACACATTTTTAATGTCATGTAGTATTATATCATTGAAATGTATCATAATGTATTTAACCAAATTTCTACTTTTAAGTATTTGTTTTCAATTTTATTAGCATTATAACAATACTGCATTGAACATTACTGTGGATGGTTTGTTCACACCCATGAGAAGTTCCTTAAGATAAATTCCTTGAAGTGAAATTTCTAAGTCAGAAGATATACACATTTTTTATTACAGGATATTTCAGACATACACAAATATAAACAGAAAAAAATAATAAGCCCCCAGGTACCTGGACCCATTATTCAGCTTTAGTAATTATCAGGTTATAACCAATCTTGTTTCACCTACAAGCTCACCGTCTTCCCCCATGTGATAGTAGTTTGAATAAAATGTCAAAAATTATATCATTTCAGTATATATCTCTAAAAGATAAGAACTTTTAAAAATAACAGCACAATTACATCTAGAAAATACTGATAATTATTTAACATAAAAGTAGCGTTTAAATCTCCAGTTTTGTCATAAACGTTTTAAAGATTTAACAGTTTGTTTATTGCATATTTTAAGTTTTCCATAAGTTTTACCTACAGTATATGAGAATGTAAATCAAACTCTATACTTAACAATTCCAATCTAAGGTCTCTATATATCGCTATCATATAAACTCAACATTTTTATAATTAGAGAAAGATATATATTACATGATATATATGCAAAACATAATTGTAGCTGAAGAGTTACTAAATCTATATCATAATAAAGTGCTTTAGAATTAATTATATGGACCCAATTACAAATTAAATGTACCATTCACTCTGTAATATGATCCCTATTATCTAATGAGAATTTCTGAAGATAACAAATTGGTGACCAGGTTGTCTATTAGTTGCTGTTAATAAATGTATGCATGCATGCAATTCATTAATTTTCATCAACTTTATTGAGGTATATAATTTATGTACAGTAAATTGCATTCATGAAAATTATACAATTAAATGAGTTTTGGCACAGCCACATACCCATGACCCCATTGCCACAATAACAATACAGAATGTTTATAACACCCAAAAAAGTTTCCGCTTGCATTTTTGCAGCTACGAGTTGTTCCCTCCACCCTCAACCCGAGGAAACTACAGACTTGCTTCTGTCACTTTAGATTAGTTAGCATTTTCGTTTTTCTTTTTTGAGATGGAGTTTCGCTCTTGCTGCCCAGGCTGGAGTGCAATGGCGTGATCTCAGATCACCACAACCTCCACCTCCTGGGTTCAAGCGATTATCCTGCCTCAGTCTCCCAAGTAGCTGGGATTACAGGCATGCACCACCACACCCGGCTAATTTTGTATTTTTAGTAGAGACAGGGTTTCTCCATGTTGGTCAGGCTGGTCTCGAACTCCCGACCTCAGGTGATCTGCCCACTTCGGCCTCCCAAAATGCTGGGATTACAGGCGTGAACCACTGCACCTGGCCTAGTTAGCATTTTCTACAGTTGCGTATAAATGGAATCATACATATTCCTTAGCATTTGGCTTCTTTCCGTCTTATCATAATGACTTTGAAATTCATGTACGTGGTTGCATATGTCAGTAGTTCATTGTGTTTTAGTGTTAAGAAATATTTCATTGTATGGATATGCCATACTTTGTCTATGCACACATTCATGAATATTTGGGGTGATTCTGGTTTGGAGCTACTACAACTAAAGATTTAAGAACATTAATGTATAGGAGTTTGTGTGAATATGTTTTTGTTTCTCTTAAATAAATAGCCAGGAATGGAATGACCAAGTCACATAATAGAAGTAACTTTTTAGAAAAGCTGCCAGTCAATTTTGGCTTCCCTGTTGTTCAACATTCTTGCTAACATTTGGTATCATCAATCTGTTTAATTTTAACCATTCCAATGGGTGTGGGTTGCTAGCTCAGTTTAATTTTAATATCCATTTCCCTGGTGATTAATGATGCCCCGCATTTTTTCTTATGCCTATAGAGCAATCATATAGTTTCTTTTGTGAAGTGTGCTTAAATCTTTTGCTCATTTTAAAAATTAAATTCATTGACCTCCATAAGTGCTCTTTATATGTGCTGGATGCAAGTCCTGTGTCCGATATACATACTGGAAATATTTTCTTGCATTCTGTCTTCCTTTTTCATTTTCTTAATGGTGGTTTTCAAAGAGCAAAAGTTCTAATTTTCATAAAGTCCAATGTAATCTTTTTCTCTGTTATAGCCTATGTTTTTGTTTCTAAAAGAAATATTTGCCCAACAAGGTCACCAAGATTTTCCTCTTGTGCTTCTCCTAGAAGTTTTCAAATTTTAACTTTTACACTTAGGTCCATTTTGAGTTGATTTTTGTGAGTTAAGGTACTTGCATCATTTTGGAGCTAAGGATAAAGAAAATGTCCTATTAAGCTTGCAGAAGTAAAAAACAAGAATCATGCAAGAGTTCAGCCAATGCATCCCTCTCACCCCTTCACAGAAGCTAATGGAGGACATGCTCCCACAACATAAGGGCAAAAGTCAACAAAGAGAAAGCACAGGCTCTCATGAACAGCAGATCTCACTAGAAGAGTGGTGAAGCGAAACTAAGACTAACCATTGTATATCAGACATAGAATCAGTCCAGACTGGAGCAAGAAGACAATAAAAGGAAGACATACAGAGAGATCTCTAAGTGAAAGGGGAATTTGAGAGACCACTGCATATTGGAGGAAAGAACATGTGAAAAGAATTAAGACTATGCATGTTTTGAAATTGCAACTACAAAAAGGCCATTTTTAACTCAAGGGAAAAAGAAAAGTTATTCAAAAAAAAAAGAAAGAAACAAAATACAGTCTACTAGCTGGCTTGTCTGTGAACAATATACATAGTCATTTTGATGCAAGCACTGATGAACTGAAAGTAGTAATGTAACTATATTGAATAGGGGGAGTGAAGGAAAGAAAGATGAGGACATCGTTGGAGACAGGAACTTTGTCAATAATAAAGGAACTTGCTATAAAATCTAACATGTATAAATGGAGAAATCATCTATGCATATTATTTTGATACTATGGCAGTACAGTGAATTGTATGATTGTTACCAAGTCTTTGTTTCCTTCTCTGGGAGAGGATTTTGCATCCCCCTAGGCCATATGACTTGCAGTTCCTCCCTGTGGGTGGAAAATGCTTCCTGCCCCATCATTAGGCTTGGCCACTATATGGACAGGAGACAGGGAAATACTGGATAGAAGAGGGCAGTTCCTGGCAAAGGCCCCACCCTTAAGCCTGGAAACCCATGGCCCTAAATGGGAACAAGCTTTCCTGTTTCTGTGCCCAAATGTTGCCTTTTGGCCCACCAGGGCCCCCTATCCAGTACCCATATAAACCCCAAACCCCAGGCTCCACAAGCAGATGAGCGGATGAACAGGTGAACAGAAGAGCAGTAGAACAGCATGACAGAGAAGGAGAGATGAGAAGGAGTGTCTGAACATCTAGAGGAGTTTGGCTGGGGACAGTCAGAGAGGAGATTGGCTGCTGGACAGCCACACTCCAGGGGAAGATCATCTCCCACTCCATCCCCCTTCCAGCTCCCCATCCCTCCTACTGAGAGCCACCTCTACCACTCAATATAACCCCCACATTCACCATCCTTTGAGCCCTTGTGTAACCTGATTCTTCCTGGTTGCCAAACAAAAACCTGGGGTCCAAGAGGGCACTAAACTGGTTAACACTTAAGCCGTCTGCAGATGGCAGAGCTAAAAGAGCACTGTAACACACCCACTGGGGCTTTGAGAGTCACAGGCACCCAACCCTAGATGCTACCATGAGGCCAGAGCCCAAAAGCACTTGCCCTGGTTCCTACACCTGCCCGTCTGCATGCTCCCCGTCTTGTAAAAGGTTTGAGCACATGTGGCAGCAGCCAAACAAATGCGCCACATCCCTGTTGCACGTCCTGCAAGGGGGGGTCAGGGAACTCTCCAGTTTCAGCTATGTATCTTAATTAGGCCAATGCAATATGAGCAGAAGCAACAATGTGACAGTTCTGCAGAAGTTGCAAGTGTCTGCATGTGCCTGCCATCTCTTGCCCCATTCCCTCTGTCGTAAGAACAGCATGCCCAAATAGGGGCTGTTCTTTCAGCCTGGAACTTGGAATGAGAAGTGGAAACAGAGCTAGAGCAGGGTCACAGCAGCCCACCTGTAGCTGTCAGAAGTAACAGGAGCAAGAAAGAAATGTTTGAGGCTACAAACTTCTGCAATATAGGGGTTGTTTGTTTCTAGAAAAAAGTCTAGATACAAGGTCACTAATACAAGCAGTGACCAACAGAAGAAACAACTAAAAATTTGAAAATGTTTGCCTATAGAAATAACTAAAAGATAATTTTTCCTTTAATGTGTGTCTTGTCACCTTTTGATTTTTTGAAACCAGGTAGGTGTATTACTTTGACTAAAATTTGTAATTTAATTTTTTAAAAAGATACCTTCCTTTAGAAACTTATAAATTAGCATTACGGTTTACATTAAGTGTCTTGTGAGTATAAGTTTAATTTCCTGAGCAACAAAAGTGAGGTTCCCATCCAAGTAATAATGAAACTATAATAAAGATATGCTTTAGCCAAATAATCTAACCTACCTAAACTCCAGACTTTGTAGTACAGGTTAAAATGTAACTGAATATAATATATGAAATAGGCACAAATACCCAGACATCATCCAGGCAGACTTCGTCCTGCTAGCTATGCTTGCCTTATTTCACCTCTTCCCTTCTCTCTCTGCTCCAGCTACTCTAGCATTATTCAGTTCCTTGAACACTTCATGGTTCATTTTTCCCTTAGCACCTGCTGCTCCCTCCACCTGGAATGTTCTCCATCCTCCTAGTGATTTTCTACATATCCTCCAGATGACAGCGCATCACTTCCTCAGGAACACAATCCCTAACTTCTGCGAGTTCCAATCCCCCTATTGTATGTGCTCATTGCTTCCTATACTTTTCTTTCACAACACATTTCAAAGTTTATTTGGAATAATATATATCATTTGATTAACAAGGGCTTCCCTATTAGACTTAGTCCATGAGGGCAGGGACTAACCTTGTTGTGCTCACCATTGTAGACCCAGCACCTAGCATGGGGCCTCACTACTTAAAAGCACCAATTATTTTTAAAATGTGTTGCATGCATGAATGAACTAAGAAATTAATGAAAATACTCTGAAATCAAAGTGGAAAATGGGAGGTCACACAGGATTTCTTTTTGGATCAAGAATAAACCCAACTTGAGAAAGAAATGTGCAAAGTGAGAATAATGACCCCTACTCACGCTATGTTTAGAAACCGTGTATTGAGCTTAAAATATAATCTTCCTTCCTACAGACAGAATATTGAATAGCCCCAGGGAGCTGAAAGATATTTTATATTTTGGATCTATTATTTGAAAGAACACATAAAACAACAACTGTTGTTTCCTTCATAATGAATTAATGAGCCGTACGTATTATTAGATTCAAATGATCATTGACTTATGTGATTTCTAAGATCTAAAGCTTCTGAAGCTAAAATTAAGCCCATTAACTTTGTCTTAAAAACAGAACTGGGATTTTTCTAATTCTTGGTGTACATTTTACTGGTGTAATACACAAATCAGGCATTTCTGTGTAACCCAGGTGTGGAACCAGGACTAGGCTTTAACCACCTAAAGGATATAAGTCACTTACTATTCAAAAGTGAACCTGAAGGAAAGCACCAATTGACTCAGAAACAATGGAAGAAAAAAAGTGTTAATGTCTATATGTAAAGATTTTATCAGTTTTGGACTAAGGAGTCTTTAACCCAAGTTCTGCCAGACTCTCCTGCTTGCTGCTGTCCGCTGTGTTCACACTAAATTCCCTGATGCATTTGTTGAGAAGGCACACAATGAGTCAGTGAGAGACATGACATACCTTAATTGCTATTCAGATTTTGAATATTCTTTTTTATAGAAAAAGCTGTAAATGTTCCTTAAATGATGTATAAAGAAGCCAAAAGGACAATAGAAATAGAAACAGGAATTTAATTGCCATCTCTTAACAGTTAAAACGATTTAACACCTTTTCTTTGAAGGACAGGATATATATTTCTGAAGTTTTCAATTTTTTTCTTACTCTTTTCTCACATAATAATGGCAGGAGATACTGTGGAATTAACATTTCCTTGTAAGTATGAAAGAAATCTGAACACTGATTTGAGGAGTCATTTTCTCATAGAAAAATACTTTGATACATACTACAAAAGTTTCTTGGATATTTTGAACAAATAACCCTTATCTCTTACAAAAAAGCTTACATTTTTACCTCAAGCATAAACTCTGTTCAATAATTTTTGTAGCTACCTGTATGATCTAGCATATCCATTTTGAATCACAAACAAATGTAGATATGAAACAACATAAAGAAATCACAGAGCCACCTAATTTCATACTTGCACTTAAGTTCACAAATACATTGCTTTAAAAGATGTGCAGTTACTCACCTTACATTCTTCCTGGCAAATATATGGTCCAAGGTTAGTGAAAAATCCTATACATAAAAAAAATCAGTGAAAAACTAAACAAGATTTTTTTTCCCATCAGAAAAGAATCAGTTTCTTTAAAGCAAGAACATCTGTTAATTCATAAATGCAAACAGAGCAAACGCAGTACTTTTCATGCCATGTGACTGACAGCATATTCAACCAATAACAGGGCAGCTTTTTCAGAATGTATTCCATGGTGGGGCGGGAGGGAAGGGAGGGGTCTGATAATGCTTACAGTGTAGAGTGAAATAAATATTTAGGTTTTAAATTATTCATCTCATGGAAAGATTATTAAGGAGCCAATTTTTAAAGAAAATATATTTACCACTTAAGCTCATTTTAGAAATTTGCATTGTTTTGATACTGTCATATAACTCTTAAGACTTTATGTTATATACTTCATACTACATATATGTCATACTATTATATATTTCATATTACACTTCAGGAAGCTATTAATTTCTCCCCAAAATCTATGAAGTATATATTTTTACATGTATTTTTCAGGTGAATAAATAAATAAAAATCTTCGGAACTTCCCTAAATTCACATGTATGTCCTAGTTCACAGTTTCCTGATGAATTCATAAGCCTCCATTTGCCAAGAGGTGTGGACGGCAACGGTGAGGAGCACAGGAGCACCGGCTTTGGAATCAGAAGCTCCTTACCAGTGAGCAAGCTGACACCAGGCAGGTGATCTTCCCTCTGGAGCCTTGTTTCCTCATCTGCGGAGTAGGGACAGACACACTTAATTGTTGTGAAGATTAAATGGGATCATGGATAAAAGGGTTTTTTTGTGGTTTTTTGGTTTTTGGTTTTTTTTTTTTTTCTGTCAGAGTCTCCCTCTGTCAGGCTGGAGTGCAATGGCGCGGTCTCGGCTCACTGCAACCTCAATGTCCTGAGTTCAAGTGATTCTCCTGCCTCAACCTCCCGAGTAGCTGGGATTACAGGCATGCACCACCACGCCCAGCTAATTTTTGTATTTTTAGTAGAGGCGGAGTTTCGCCATATTGGCCAGGCTGGTCTCGTGCTATTGACCTCAGGTGATCTGCCCGCCTTGGCTCCCCAGAGTGCTGGGATTACAGGCGTGAGCCACCACGCCAGGCCATGAAAGGCTCTTCTTAACGCTTAGCTAAGTAGAGTGTCTATTGTTATTCCTTCCCTGCTGGCCTCTCCTTTCCCCTCACTCCCCTAAAAGCCTGAAAAACAAAACAAACCACAAAATTCCTAAGAGTTGTTTCACATTTTTTTAAAGTACAATTAAAATGCCACAATAAAGAAAATCCTCCAAAATTAAAGTGTCAAGTGTCACCATTTGGGGCACTTAGGAATGTTGATGGCTTAAAGACAAAGTACTGGTAGCAGAAAAGGGCTATTTGTAAGTGAAATTTCAGAGATGATGGACCAGAGGAAAGCTGGGGTCTTCGCGCTGAGGAGACATTCCCGTTCCTCTCACACACCGCTTTCTCCCAACATAGTTCAGGGGACCCCAGTAGAAAATAAGAAGAGGAGAATAAAGCAGAATGACTAGGGGAAGTGGGAGAATGCAGGAATAAGGAAGAAAGTTGCTAACAAAAATTACAAAATCAAAAGGGTCGCTGGCCTTAAATGTGGCCTTTCCGTGCCCCATCTAATTCCTACTGCCTCCTCATACTGTCTTTTCTTCTCTGTTTTCATTTCACCCAGCTTCTACTCTTCACCACTCCTTTTCTCATTCTGTTCTTTTCCTGATTCTGTGGAATTTCATGTAACAAGCAGGTCTGGATAAGAGAAGTTAGTTTTAGGTAATGTTGACAGATAGACTATAGGATAACCTGTTAAAGCTGAATGTCAAAAAAAAAAAAAAATGATTTTAATATAAGCATATTCCATGCAATATTTGGGACATACTATATTTAAAACTTACTGTTTTATTTGAAAAATTAAGTTTAACTGGGCATCCTATATTTTTAGTTTGCTAAACCAGCCAGTCTTAGTCTTAGGGAAGCTCAGCTACTCAAAGTGTAAAGTGCATACAAATCACATGAGATTCTGTTAAAATGCAAATTTTGACCCAGTAGGTCTGGAGTGGGTTGTAGGATACCACATTCCTAACCAGCTCCCAGATGATGATGATGGTGATGCTGCTTGCCTGAGAACCGCCCTTTGAGTAGCAAGGATCTAGAACAGCATTGTTCAATAGAAATAGAATGAGAGCTACACATGGAATTTAAAATGTTCTAGTCACATTAAAAAGAAGTAAAAATAAACAGATGAAGCTAATGTTAACAGTATTTTTATTTAACCTATCTAAAATACTATCATTTCAAACATACTTAATTTTAAGAATTATTAGTGAAACATTTTACATTTTTTCTGCCCTAAATCTGAACTCTAGTGTATAATTTTTAAAATTTATTTATTTCTATATTTTGTAGAGATGGGGGTCTTGGTATGTTACCCAGGCTGGTCTCGAACTCCTGGGCTCAAGCAGTCCCTCCACCTCAGCCTCCAAAAGTGCTGGAATTACAGGCATGAGCCACCGTGTTACTTATATCTCAATTCCAATAAGCAAAATTTCAAGCATTCAGTGGACACTTGTGGCTAGCGCCCACTGTATTGGACAGTGCAGATACAGAACATCTCCTGCAGCTGCCAGAGCAGTACCTGGTATTCTCCCATGGGAGCAGTGGTAGTGCCTACTCCTCAAGGCCCTGGTCAGGAGAAAGTGAGAGCCCAAGCCAATGATGATCCCGCACTGTGACAATAATGGTTCTGTGAACCCTGAGAAAGGAGAGTGTTAGTCCCTTAGTGGTTATCACATAAGAATCTTTCGGCCAGGCATGGTGGCCCATGCCTGTAATCACAGCATTTAGGAGGCCGAGGTGGGCGGATCACGAGGACAGGAGCTCGAGACCAGCCTGGTGGACATGGTGAAACCCCGTCTCTACTAAAAATACAAAAAAGTAGCCGGGCATGGTGGCAGGTGCCTGTAATCCCAGCTACTAGGGAGGCTGAGGGAGGAGAATTGCTTGAACCCAGGAGGCAGAGGTTGCAGTGAGTCAAGACCATGCCACTGCACTCCAGCCTGGAAAACAGAGCAAGACTCCATCTCAAAAAAAAAAAAAAGAATCTTTCATGGAAATATGCTTGGGTTTACATTTTCAGACATACACACAATATTTTTAATTTAAAGTATCATTTTAATAGATTTTATGTCCTGATCCTAAAATTTTAACATAGTATTCTTTCTGTTGTTGAAACATTCTCCCACTTGGTTAAGAACATTCAAGGCATAATAATTAGTAGCTAGTAGGTTTCACACATGTATTTTAGACTAGAAGTCACACTTAAGATGTGATTGTCTGAGAACAGCTCATCTTGTGACTTTGGAGGAGAAAAACAGAGACAAGAAATGCTAATTGGACATCTTAGAGGCTGCAAAGCACTAGGGTGTCACCTGCCTGGCATCGTACCTTCCTGCTCGGACTGCTGAGGAGCCTTTGTGAAGAATTGTGAAGGGTCTGAGATTTTACTCACTTCGAAGCTAACTAGTTAGTCTGACAGTTTTATGAATGCTGACAGAAGACACAGACTCCTGGGTCAGAGAAAAGGACTTTATTACTCACGGCACAGCAAGTGGCACAAGCATCAGTATGTCTGGTCAGTTCCCCTTCCCCTTGGAGTAATGTAGGTAGGCCCAGATGGATACTTGCACACACAGTGGGCTTCATTTCAGGAGAGAAACCCTGAGCTTAAGGAGCCCCAATTTTTTTACAGGGGGTAGTAAACCTATCTGCCCTGTGCTCTGAGGGGAAACACTACCTCTACTTTCCAATGCTATAAGCAAGCCTGTCCTTTGCTACAAAGGGGACATGATTTCTACCGTTCAAGGCTTCTCCCCATACAAACATCCTAGAAAAGGTATTCAGAACAAAGAGTAGTTAGGGACTAGCTCACAACACATGCAGAAAATGCAGAGGCACATGGAATTTCCCCTCCACCGTCTCCACAGGAGAACAGGAAACTGTATAGCCATGCTACCTTCTTTACAACTGGAAACAACTTGGGTTTGCTTTATTTTTTGATTTACTATGTATAACTAAATGATAATGTTACCTGAATATTTGAATATCAAAAATCTATCTTCCCATAATCATATATGACCATATAGAATTGTGTTCCCACAGGAACAAAAATGGATCTAACTTAAGAATTCTAATATTTACCTTGAGAAGACTAATAGGTGCACAGTCTCTATTCATTCAATGCTCTCAGACCAAAAGTTGCATCAATTATAATGGTCTTTGCACAGTGATTCAAAATCCGAATCCATGTACCTCCTACAAAGCCCGGCGTGGCCTGGGCCCTGCTGGTCTCTCTTGCCTCATTTAACACCAGCTCCTCCTCCTGAGCATGTTCCAGGCACACTGGCTCGCACTCAGCTTCTCAGCACCCTCAACATGCCAAGCTCCTTTGCATCCAAGTGACCTTGCACATACTGTTCTCTCTGTGAAGTCACCTCACATCTCTCTACCTCTCCCCGTATCCTATTCACTTTCATCATAACAAACATATATCACAGTTTGCACTGAGAGATTTATTTTCTTATGTACTTACTGATGCTGTTTCTTCATCACACGGCACACTCCATGATGGCAGATACTATGTCTATTTCACTGATATATACCTGGAGCCCAAGTTGGTGCTCAGTAAAATACACAGAATGAATGAATGATCCTATCGAAAACTGCCACAGAATTAATTTCCACTTTGTGCCACATGGTTATGACTCCCAAGGCCTGAGTCTTTAGGCAACTATAACGGGAATATCAATTAATTCAAGTATTCCATAGAATTCTGCCACTTGAAAATGGGAACAGACAAAATCCAGGTTACATCAGTTCACTAGCACCCTCCGTTCCCCAAGGAGCAGGAGGTACTGTATAACTCTTTATCAAGTTCAGAGCAAAATTGCTGCCGTGATTTCTCCCAATTTTCATCAAATTAACTTCTGCATTAATTAGAATCAGGATGGTACATTAAATAGTTGTAAGTGCTTTTAATTTAAATGTTCACATTTCTCACGTTAGGTTTCCCTTTGACTTCCTGGAACACAGATGATGTGCCAGATTAATGGCACTTACTTGTGTTCTGGGCTGCTCAAGCTAAACTAAGACAGGAGATCTGCTCTTGAAACAAATTTGTGCGCTCAACAAATACTGATTGTCACCGTGCTAGATTCTTTACCAGGAATACAAAGTGCAAAATACAGTCCTCACCCCCAAAATCCTCCCAGCCCAGTAACATGCAGAAATGTAAACACCTTTGGGATACAGCAAACCAGTGACCTTGCTTAAGCTCAGCCCCACCTCTTCCCCAGGCAATGGCTGATTAAATGAAGGAGACAGTGGCAGGTATATAATAGACACTCCGATATGGGTTTCTTTACTTGAAGTACAAAAGAGCCTTTATCAGAAGGATTTGCTAAATGACATATTTAGTATGGTAATCAAGGCAAGACTAGGAAGAGAGGCTTGAGCCTCACAGACCTGGGACCCAGGGAAGGAAAAGGCCTCCACTACCCTCAAAAAATGCTCTCACCAGGCACCTGCAGCATCCACTTTGACAGAGACACTGAGATGAACTTCAGATTGAGAATATGTGCCATGTGATGTTGCCCTATCCTTGAAGTCACATTTATAACAAGGGCAAAATGAATTATTTGGATATAAATTAGCCAGCA